ACATTAGAGTAGTGGCGCAAAAGTGTGCGGATCAGCACTTCATTGGCGATGTTTGGTTGGATCTGTTGACTTGCGCTGAGACAGAAGAAGGAACAACACTAATGAGGGAAATGGCGCGCAAGACATTTAATCTAAGACAAGAATTAGAGCACTCGCCTTGGATTGTCATCAACGGTGAGAGGAGTCCTTTAGCGCAAACACAACTGCAAAAAGCCATTTGTGAGAAAGCACTGGTATTTTAATTGTTTTTCATTTTGATGTGATTTAAAATGTATTAATAAATATTGAATCAAAAATGCGAACAATAGGGCGATAGGCCTGAAGTTTGCGATGATGTGAGAGTGGCTAAAGTGAAGCTCGAGTTTCACTACCAAACCGGTGATTCCGCTGTCAAAGACTATGTGATCGATGAGTTGTATCCATCGTATAGGGATATCGAAGAGATATTTGATTTAGAATTGATCCCATTCGGAGAGACCACTTTCATTAAGGGCGAAGACGGAAAATATACGTTTACATGTCCTAACGGTGATAACGAATGTATTGGTAATAAAATTCATGTAAGAGATAATATTTGTAAATGATATATAAAGTTTTAGTTGTTTAATTGTTTAGTACAATTGTTCGGTTGTATATAATTTAAACAAAACTAAACTTGAATTGATTTCAATTGAAGACATGTGTAATCAAAGAGTTTTGGCACAACGATGACGACCCCATCAGCGATAATAGAGACTATGACGGAAAACTACAGACATTGGAGTTTATAAAGTGTTATTTCTCTCACGAAAATTGGTTATCGGATCCGATGAAAGCGGGCGATGAATGCGTTGAGCGGGCGTTTGGCGACGAGTGGATACAAATACGTGAATGCGTTACTGACGGCGACGAGTACTTCGCCAAACAGAAAGATACGAAAATTGGTTATCGGATCCGATGAAAGCGGGCGATGAATGCGTTGAGCGGGCGTTTGGCGACGAGTGGATACAAATACGTGAATGCGTTACTGACGGCGACGAGTACTTCGCCAAACAGAAAGATCAGGTGTCGTCTCTCGCGCCTCCTCTTCGATACACGCCATGGATTGTCATCGAAAGAAAACACAGCAAAGCGTCTGAAGTGCACTTAACCCGCGCTGTTTGCGACTCATTTGAAGTATATTTTGCCAAAACTATTAAAATTGTAATGATTTCTAATTCATTGTGAATTCATTGAACATAAAGAGCAAATGGAAGCCGTGGGCGTGTTATGCACCGCCACCCGCCCTCCCAAAGCCTACCGTCGAAATACATTACGAGCCTCTGAACACTGATTCTCAAAGCTTTATTGTCGCCCAATTAAATCATCTGAAGACACACGTCGATGAGATCATCACTTTAGATATTGTTCCGTTCGGTAGAACCGTTAAAAACAGCGACAATACCTTCCAGTGTCCCAACGATGAGGAATGCCATACGTTCAAGCACCATGTCAGTTCATCAGTTTTTAATTGTCATTAAAAGTTGTCATTACATTTAATTGCGTTTATTTGCAAACACTTTTCAATCTAGGCGTGTGTTATAACTCTATTTATGGAGAGTAAACCCGTGGAGACATTAAATTTCTTGGTCTGCGTTTTTGGTTCCGATATGACAAATGTGCCGAAAGTGACCGAAAACTGTGCCAATGAATACTTTACCGATCCGTGGGTTGATATCGACACCTGTGCTAAGAGTAAAGGCGACCAAATTCTTCAAACATACGCCGAGAGAGTGGAGAACTTAAATCCTAAGTTATCGCACATCCCATGGATTTTAGTGAATGGAGAACACGATTTAGAAGCGGAAGACAATCTGATACAAGAAATATGTGAAATTTTCTACACGGTTTGTTTGTATTTTATTTAAAATGATTTAACAAAATTAATTCATATAATCAATATCATACGATAGACTGATAAGCCGCCTCAATGTATCCCCGAATTGATAACCGTTTCCGTGAATTACCAAAACATGGAGACATCGGTCGCCAATTTTGTGGCGAATCAACTCAAACCATATCATCCATACTTTGAAGAGTTAGCGGCACTTGATTTCGTTCCCTTCGGTCTCACACAACGAGACGCCACTGGCTTTAAATGTCCCCAAAATGAAGTCCAGTGTAACGCAAACAAAGTTCACGTAAATATTAAAACTCATTTTAATACTCAAATGTAATGAAAAAGTTACAAAAAGTTTATCTATCCATAAAGGCGTGCGTTTTTCATAATTTTTGGGATAAACTCGATCATTCAAATGCCATGGATTTGGATGAAAGCCGGTACCGAACGCTTGAATTCTTGGTCTGTGTGTTCGCCAAGAACTCAGCAAATCCTATAGCAGATGCGGAACAGTGTATTGAACAGGAAATCGGCGATTATTGGGCCGATTTAATCAATCCGTGCGCCACCGGACCCGATGGCACCAAATTATATGAAGAATTGGCTAAGAAAACAGATGTATTGAATCCGAAAATATCAAAAGTGCCCTGGGTCACTATTGACAATACATATAAGATTGAAGCGGAAACTAATTTTGTGCACTCCATATGCGATTCATATCCGGTCAGTAAATTTGCTTTTAAAATTTGAAATATTTAATGAATTGGATTAAGTTATAAAATTATTATATCAAAACCAACATTCCAGTCGGTTAAACCGCCCGTCTGCTCTTCAATTGGCAAAATCTTGGTTAACATCGGATTATACTATTCAAGCGATGAGATCACTCGTAATTGGGTTATCAATGAATTGAAACCCTTGTACGCGGAATCTACTCCGACTCGTGCGGCACCGAGACTACAGACAATATTGAGTTCATTGTTTATACCGTGGGGTCAGACCATCTATAATGAAGCCGACGCTGAAAACCCATTCACGTGTCCCAAAGAAAATGAATGCTTAGCCAACAGAATACATGTGAGAACATTGAAACAAGAATTCCTATAATTTTGAAACAAAAACATTAAATCTAACTTTTACTCAACACATCGAAAGGCATGTGCTATCGACCAGTACTTGGATAAACCGAGAGGAGTGCTACACATCACTGAATTTATTATCTGCTTCTATAGTGAGGAAACCTGGAGTACAAAACCAGCGGAAGCGGGCAATGTGTGCGCCAATAAAGTTTGGGTATTAGAAGCCTGGCCACAGATCGTGTCCTGTGCCACAATCAATACACCCGACAATATCAACACTTATCTCAAAATGAAACACAAAACCGATTTAGCGAAGCCAACCAAACGTATTGACTATTTTATGTTTTTATGCAATCAATCAATTAATTAATGTCCTGTGAATAGTGCCGTGGATTACAATTAATAACGTGCAAAACAGTAACGCAGAGACCAAACTGTTGGAAACTGTTTGTGACAACTATTCGGTAATTTTTATTATTTTGTATGACTTCTAATTATTTTTACCATTCTTTTAAATATATTTGAAGGGTCTTAGACCTGATAACTGTCCGACAATTGGACCAACTGCTGAACCCACTCTACCAACTGGAGTGACAGGTGGACCAACAGATCCGCCAACAACACCGCCAACAGCAGACACACCACTGCCAACACTACCGCCAACACAACCAGAGACATCACCGCCAACATCACCGCCGACGTCGCCGCCTACTTCACCGAAGCCAACTGATCCCTCGCCGACCCCCACAACTGACGGCGCTCTTACAATCGCGCTTACAAATTGTCTCTTTATAATTGTGTCAATAGTAGTATTCTTGTAATATTCATCAATCGATACAATATTAGACATTAATTAGAAATTATTTTATTAATAAAAAAGAAATGAGTTATAATTTTAAAATTGTTGTCTCAAATACATTACATAAGAAATAAAATTTTGTTGAATAACCATATCATTAAATATAATAATTATTAAATCCATCGTGATATGTGTTGAATTCAAATAAAAATCCAATTACAAATTAAATAATTGAAAAAAGTAAATATATTATTTTTATCAAGCATGTTATGTTTCCAAAAAATAAATTATAAAATTGGTCTAAATTTACTTTGTTTTGTTACTTACTTTGTTTACGATATATTTTTAGTAAGTTGCGAAATATTTTTAAATAAAATGTAATAATATTTTTCTAGCTTTAATATTTGATCTAAAAGTTAATATAGAAAACATTTTAAATTTAATCTATTGTCAACAAAATCTTATTTTATTTAAATAATATAAAAGAGATTACTGACATAAAATCAAAATTTGCCTAAACCGAAAATGTATTTTACCTACAATGCAAAATTTTTACTAAAAAGTAAATTCATATAATACATGGTAATTTAGTTTGAGATACAATATTTTTATCAATAATAAATATGAACATGTTACTTTACACATGATTATTGTAAAAAGGCTACTGCACCTGTAGCATTTATTTTAACACACATGTTAACAATATAATAATTGCAAATCATTATACAGATAAATCCATATTGAAATTAGTGGCAAAAATTGTTTGATTAATTGCATAATTGGTGAGCCTTTAGGCATTTATAAGCCATAGTTTATAACAAGTTTAACAATATATCACATCAAATGATTAGATTCTAATGAAATGCAATAACTGTAATATGAAAATCCGGTATACAATACATCACTCAACAAGTTTTGTTGTATTTTATAATATTCTTTGCCATTAATTTTGCAAATAATTTATATTTATTCATAAAAGTATGTCTTGAAAAACTATTTATAGGTATGTCTTAAATATTATAATAATAAAACACAAATATGTGTTAAATCACGTCAAAACATGAATTTTAAGGAAATATAATAGACGTGTACTTTAAGTGCATTTTTCAACTTATTGTATATCATGTAACAATATTTGCATTTTTTATTTGTCAAAAAATATTTTTATTTGATTTGGGAAGAGAAAAATGGGTCACAAAATGTTTCATCGATGTAAACACATTTATAGATCCCGTTATAGAAGAGTACGAATGGCATGAAAATTGTAAACTTGAAAATCCGACATCAATTTCTGCGCTTTGATTACAACTTATGGTAATAAGAAATGGTCTAAAAAACAAGTTTTAGGAAATGGTTTGTATATTAAGAGACCAACTCATGCGCAACGCTTAATGGCTCAATGGGTCACAACACTGAACCACATCTCCAGAAGTTATTTAACTTTATTTACATCTTATAGACAGTGGTCTCCCATTGCAATACCCCATACCATACAATTCATTCACATCATCTCAAGCGCAATGAACTTCATTCCCAATCAATGACTTCGTTATTAGATTCAATGTCTTCTAAAGTTTTAGTCATATTTTTTGCTTCTTTTATATAGTTTTAGTTGAAATTATATTTTCAAAGTTTGTTCAATGAAAATGTTATCAATTGTGAATAATGTGCAAAACTTTGCGTTCAGTGCTCTATATTATTGTCGTCAGTATTGGATAGACGTCGGGGACCCGCGAACCCGACACTTCCCTATAGTGACGGGAGGGCCGGAAGTAGTGCTGGCAATAGTGGCCTCTTATCTACTGTTTGTGAAGAAGATCGGACCGACTCTTATGAAGAATAGACCGGCGTTTGAATTGCGCGGACCAATGCTTGTGTACAATTCATTTATGGTTGTCTTCAATATGTACTTCTTCTATGAGATCGTCCGTCGAAGCGATTACGGCCGCCGTTTCCTGAACTTCAAGTTTCCCGAAAGGAATGACTATTCGGACGAAGTTTTACATGAGATTCACGTCGGCTTTTGGTGTTTTCTCACCAGATTTCTGGATCTGTTTGACACCATATTCTTTGTTTTGCGCAAAAAATACAGTCAAATAACTTTCCTTCACTTATATCATCACACATTAGTGCCGCTCATCGGATGGGTTTGCCTGAAGATCGCACCGCAGGCGCCAGTGATCGGTCTCTTCTTGACATTCAATACAATGATTCATTCAATTATGTATTTATACTACGCTTTGGCGGCGTTTGGACCCCAAGTGAGACAATACTTGTGGTGGAAGAAATATATCACTCAATTACAGTTATTGCAATTCGCCACTTGCTTTTGCTATGGAGTAGTCATGGCTTTCCTGCAGACAGGTTTCCCTCCCGGCCTATTCTGGTTTGGTTTCGCACAAAACCCCATCTTCTTCTACCAATTCTATCAGTTCTATAGAAAGGCTTATAAAACAAATCAGAAACTCAAACACAATTGATTCACATTATTGCCAAAACCTGTTAGTAGTAATCAATACTGTATTTGAAAAGTTAATTATTTCCTCAAACTTTTGATATCAATAACGATATTAAGAGAAACAATAATTATAGTCAAAATTTTTGTAATTGCATTACATTTCATATATCGTTTGCCATAATTTTCTAATTTAGAAATATTTTATTCAAATAAATTAATTTTAAAATATAATAACCATTTTGTTTTCTTCACCTGACCATCACTTCTAGGGTTTTTAATAATAATAATTTATTTTTATAATTACATTTTTAAGTAATTTAAATATTATTGTAGTGTATATGACATTGAGCTCATAAACTGTATTCAATTTTTCGGTACAAATAAATGTTTTTTTTATGTTAATTTCAAAATGTTATTTTAATTATTGTAATATATTTATAATTAAAATTGTTGTCAACATGGTACTTGAAAGCAAAATTAAAATCCCAAAATGTTTCTAATGTTTAAAAGATGTTCAAAAATAAAATATTCAATACAAGATTCAAACAACAATTATATTCACGTCATATCCCTATTCAATGCAATCATTTATTTATAGAACAGGTATTGTGTAAAACATTTCTTACAACAAACTGAAAGCCCTTAAGGCATACACAACACACCATTTGTCGCACTAAATCTTTCAATGCATTATTATATGAATGCATAATATTTATTATGAATTTAATCTTACGGCAAGTGAAAAAACTAGTTAAACAAAACTCATTCACAATAGTTGTATTAAATTGGGTTATATATAGTACTTATAGTACAACTAATGCGTTATCATATGTGTGGCGTCAGTGGTATAACGGTTAGCATAGCTGCCTTCCAAGCAGTTGACCCGGGTTCGACTCCCGGCTGACGCAACCTTTTTGACATTTATTTAATCAAATTGGTTTTATTTTTACATTACTTTAATTATTTTCTTATTTATTAATAATTCAATAATTAAAACTAATATATATTTTTAATAAATGTTTATTAACTGAATTACAAGAAAATATAGAAACTTTTTAAAACTGATATATTATAGTAAATAAAAGTAAATTCCTTTTTATGTAAATTTCTCAATGAAAACATTTAAGAAAACAATTTATATAATATTAGCGTAAAATAGTTAACAAATTAAATTTATAAGTTAGCTATGGTTTATAGGGTTCGATCAGGTTTTTGCTAAA